ACATTCAGTGTTCTTTATTGAGCTTTTCTAGAACGTTATTTAACAATAAAATCAGACATATACAGGATGCTTCTCTCTCATATTAATTTTAATATGTAAACCGCCACAGGAATGTGGCAAAGTTAAATTCCTGTAACACTGACAATGTATATATTAGTTTTCTATTTTATCGATTATGTGAATTTGCACAAACTGCACAGAGGTACCACCATAAACGTATTACAGTACTCCTTCAATTCAAGAACCAAATCCGGGGGCAACGAGGCTCTTGAATTGAGAGAATGCAGCGAATTGCTGTGCTCTGATTGGCAAATAGTACAATTCAACGCAAAGTTAGACGTTGAAAAATTTTGCTCATATGATTCTTTATTGACTTTTACTAGATATTAGTTTTCAAAAATTTTGGCCATTTGACTTCTTGTTGATTATACTAATTGTTTTCTATAGAATATACCAAATTCGTGAGATTTGTATTTGATTTGACTTCATAGACTGCACTCAAGAAACTTTTTCTGTGCGGTTGGTACCTTGAATTATAGTTGACCCAACGTCGCCAGCCGCCATTCTGGTCAATTTTGACGATTTCGTATCAATTTTCATTAATTACCGTGAAACGTATCGTGCGGTGTTCGTGAATTTTACGCCAAAATTGTTGCTGTTCTCTGGAGATCTAGTCGTGAGTAGCATTGATAAATTCCAGTTATTTACTACAATATTTCCCAGTTTTATTCACTTCTATAAGAATGCGGGATATCGCATTTAATAATTAACGATGTCGTGACTTCTTAAATTGTTTAATTCGTATAAAATTGCTTCTATCGATAGAAGAAACTGACGAAGACGTTATTTTGATTATTATATCTTGTAACAGCGGCAATTATATTTGCACAAAATTAATAAGTTATTTCTCGCTAACAATCATGGCGATAGCGTTGAGAGGCTCGTCGCCGCATATTCATAGGATTGTATTGCTTTATTGTAATTAGTCGACGAGTTTTCATAATTTTGATAGTACATGCTCCGGATATATGTGCAATTCTTGATTTTGTTGTCCTTGAAATGTTGCATATTGACAAATAAATTTACTTGACCCAATTTTATTCTTAATGCAGTGATGCTATAGGAAATTCCTTTCTCCAAATAAATTAAAAATTTGTGCGTACCATGCAACAACCCTTTCTACTATGCTTACATTGTGATGCAATAAAATTAAATGAAAAGATGTAATGTAAAGCGTTCATAATTATATGTTAAATATTTTAATTAAGAAAATTAAGATGAGTTATCGTCTACGTTAATGTTTATCATTGGAAAAAAGTGTCTGATCTTTTATCAGTGAAACACTTTTTCAGTTAAACATAGGATAAATTTTCAATATGGCACAAAATCTATATTGTGTATATTAATATAA